ACCGTAAGTGTTGTATTGGACAGTACGGAATTTACTCGTCGATTATACAACGGTTGTCGAATTCATTCCTCGGTGAAAAGAATCAAAGATGGATAAACTGTAGCCGACGTCTGCGCACAGGAGTTGTTTGTGTTAGGAGGGGCCTAACGGACAACTAGCGAGCCGCGCCCACGAAAAGCTGTCGATCAGCTTACAGGCGGCGAACGCAACTGCCAGTCAATCAATCAATAATTTAAAATGTAAGCTGCAGCCAGCCATTGAGTCACGAGCCAATCGTGCCGCTACCCACACCAGGACAGAAGCTGATTGGCTCGATGGACATAGCTTTACATGCGTTTGTTACCCTAAATATGTTGTACCAATTACGCTCAAAGATTTCTGCTTTTGCGCTCTTCTTGTCGTGTTTTTTCTTGGGGGCTCACACAAGACGTAATTAGGCGGTGAAATCTCGGAACCAGGCTAGGCAAGCGCCGAGGATTCGGTCGGTGAGCCGTGGGAATAAGTAACTCTAGAGCTGAGACAACCGATGATATGTAGGTAAAGGACCCAGGCGGCCTAACGTTTATGAGTTCGGCTTACCTGCCTCTAAAATAAGCCTTGTTGCAAAGAGTCCAATCTCTTAATGAGACGGGCGCCTGGCACTTGTGTGCTTTTTGCCTGACGCTTTAGCAGAGTCAACAATTACCAAAACACAAAAGTTTGGTGTCGATGATGATTGCATGGGCAGAAATGAAACGATATAAAAAATCTTCAATTTATTATTGTGGGGTTATAGGCGCAAATGCCCAGTACATAACGTGGGCCACCACCAATACGTTGATACTGTTTCCCAGGAGACGTAGTCGTTGTTTTTCAGTTACTTCCGGAGGAAATTCTAAAAAAAGATAAACAGAAGTGGCATACAAGTACATAAGGGAATTTTTGATAAAAAGAAATAAGAACCAAGACTTACTAAACGATGGAGGGAAGCACATAAGATTGGCGACTTCTTGGGAATGGAAATAGCGGAGTTTTAGAATACTAGCTGCATTACTGTTGGTGTCCCCTGATGCTGCAGCCTGCGACGTAGAAAAATGCAAAAAACATAAGTTAATAGCACCTATCACTGCTATACTTAGTTAAGGCATATAATGGAAAAGCTATTTTGTACCTTTTAAGAAAATTCAACTATCCCAAAGGCGGGTTAAATGAGGTAAAGTAAACTAAGATGTAGGGATTTAGTTCTATTTAGTCCAGCGTTTCCGAAACATTCGGGTCAAGCTTTCACCCACTGCCTCAAGGCTAACATCTTAAGTTTGTTACCTCAAATCTGTTCACTGTCTTTTCAGCCTCGCCAAGTAACATCACAGAAAGTTCTTAAGTGATTTAAATTATCACTCAGTTAAGTGAGACAAAAAAACTTGGTTGAGGAAAAATACAAATGTTTATTCGCAAAACTGACCGTCGAATTTTCGTCGGAAAGAAGGAGGAAGGAGCCAGTGCCTTCGAAACGCTGGGAGTAGCCCTTTGTAAAACAGGCACTCTTGTGGCTTTCGGGGGTAACTATATCCAGCGCACGATAGAATTTCATCGCCTTTTCTCCTCTAAGAAAGAGACTCTCCTGACATAAATGCCGCAATTAGTAAATAAATTGCTACGCTTACCGGCAGGTCGTCATCGGGAAGTAGGAAGTCTGAAAGAGGACGACAAAACTCAAGGTACTCATCAAAGTGCTCAGATGGTGGTGCGGATATGTGCCTAAACAGTTGAAATACAGACAAATGTAGTTTACTTTAGCTTTCCCGCGCAGACAGCACAACTGCAATTAGGAAGCGAAGGCGCATCAGGAGGCGGTACTCGTATGATGGCCCTTTCACATAATTGCAGCGCATCGGACACCGAAGTGACCTTATCGAGGACTGGTAGGGACGCACAGAAGGGAACTGAGTTGTCTGCGGAACCACGTAATTTGGCGACAAGATAGAAGCGTAATCGGCAGTTAGGTATACCGAATTGGAGGGGTGTAAGCAGGAATTGCTGACGGAAAGAGCATGAATAAACGAGTTAATTGAGTTTGAAACGTTAAGGGCAGTGTAGCAATGAAAGTGGAATATGTCAGTCTTTACAAGGAATGCCTACAAGCCGAATAGATTATAAGGATAATTATAAAGTAGGAAAATATGAAGTTTCTGTATTTAGGCAGCACTTGCCTACTGCTTATGTATCGGAGAAAGGTAAACTGCTATCATATTGTTTTAGAACGTTTAGAGGTCTACTTCGTATTTCGGGCGTTCCCTGTATGTTGCGATCCACAAGCATGATATATCTGGAATCAAGGCCAATTTTGTCATGGAAAAAGCTATTAAGTGTTCAGCCGTATAAGCGGTAGCTGAACATTTTGAACAGGCAAGGATATAACAACAGGTAATACTACTGATCTTATTTTTGAGCACTCAAACACTGAGACTTCCTCTAATTATGTCCTGAAAGATGTTCTATTATATATTTTAGCTACTTCAAAAGCACATGTTCACTCGGCTTCATAGGCGGTATTCGCATCACTACTTGTCCTTTAGTCGAACGGTGGCAGACCTCCGAATGAAGCCGAGTCAAATGACATGCCATCCCAGCAGACCAAAGACTACCCGATGCCCTTGAGATCATATGCCTTCAGGTCAACACGTCCTCAGTCTGGTAACTGGCGGCACCACAGCGTTGGGGCGAAACCATCAGGGACAAAACCAAAACGTACAAAGTCGTGGCTGTAAGCTGACATAACCGAACGCCGCATTTATGCTTTATCACAGATAAACTTAATACGAACGAACCCGGACAGATGTGGACTACTAAATTAAAGAATAGAGCCGCCGGAGATTTAACACACAGTCAAAAAGTGGCTAATACAAAGCACTACCAAGCGAAAGCTTTACTTACAAACATGAAAAATGATACGATCGATTTTAAATTAAAACAATGACGTATCGTATAAGCGTGCAGTAACTGACCCGAATTTCGTATCCAGCGTGAAACAGCGCCTCAATAAGTTCTTTCCATGCATCTGACAGTTCGAAACCTTTAACATTTTCCAAAAATATAGCAGCTGGGCGGACACTTTTTTATTAGAAACAAGTATATACGTCTGGATAAGGGTTATGACCCGATGGAAAGAATGACTACGACTGTCTTCGCCTAGTTTTCGTTTGCCCATCCGAGTGAAAGGCTGGCATGGAGGGCTCATTGTCCATAAGTCTGCCTTGAGCCCTAGACATTCAGATTCGGAGAGGCTCTAGATACTAAGATAATTGAGGAAATTACCTCCAGTGTACGGTTGTAAGCCAGCTTGCCGGGATGGGCCGAGTTATATACATTATTTGCGGTGTCGTTTATGTCGAGAGCCTTTACTACCTCAAACTCCAAGCTAGAGGCTGTAAAAATGAAACATTAGGAGAGTGTAAACCTGACAAGGCCAAGTGCATTCCGCCGATTCCCGAGTATAACTCTAAAACTCGCATGACACGCCAAATACAAACCAAACTGACTATCGCGCTTACATAATGAAGCAAGTATAACTTTTTGTATGAGAGAGATTTGTTGGAAATGGAGATAGAGGCTTTTGACCTTTTCTCAACCGATATTTTCTTACCCTGTCTTTTGAAAAGAGAGAAACGAAATCTTACTCGAGCAATGAACAAGGCTGGACACATGAATATGGAAGAACTTAGGGAGGAAAATGCTTTGAATTCCATGGAGGTAGTGTCCCCATTGTTGGCTCTAATATATTTCCTCTGTCCGACACCAGTACCTACAGGCCATACAAATAAGAAGAATTAGGACCACGAGTGATGGCATGTTACAACGATAAGAAGTCTTATAATGTGCACGCTTTTTTTCTGAATCTGTTGG